GTTCTAACCTTAAAGTACCTCAGAATGTGCCTGTATTTGAAGACAGAGTCTCTAAAGAGGTAATAAAGTTAAAAGGAAGTCATTAGGGTGAGCCCTAATCCAATATGACTCTGTCCTTTTAAGAAGAGATTAAGATACGGGCAGGTGCAGAGGGAAGTCCAGGTGAAGACACAGGGAGAAAACAACCATCTACAAGCCAAAAAGAGAGTCCTTAGACGAAACCAACCCTTCAGACATCTTTACCTCAGTCTTCCTAGCCTCCAGAATTGTGAGAAAATAAATTTCTGTTGTTCAGGCCACCCAGTCTGTGGTACTTTGTTATGGCTGCCGCAGCAAACTAATACAAACAGTAAAGCCAACATCTGTTCTGATTGGTAAATGCACTTCCTGTACAGAGGTTTAAATATTTTGCACATCAGTCACATTTATGTATTATATTATTCAAGAAATTCACTATTCATTATTTATTAAATGTGTCAAATACCCTAAATCTATTTTATTCCTAAACGGTTCAATTCAATTTATATATATATACACACACATATATACACATATACATATATAGGCACATATATGTATATATATAAAAACCAACTATATATACATATGTGTATATATATACGCAAATTTTTTTCATGGATACTCAGCCAATATTTATAATTATTACCATACTACCACTCTTAATTGTTTGCCTCTCCTAGGATAGCAGAGTGCTCTTGGTCTTGCACTCTTGAGTAATGAGAGCTAAAACAACATATCTGCTTTATTCAGTTTGAATGGGGCTTATTAATATGTTTAGTATATACCCAACTGCCTGCTGAACAGCCCACTCCATACATCCCATTGAAACTAAACATCTTTTCCTCCATCCTTGCTCTTCCTGACTTTCTGTTGTTAACTGATTAGCCATTCTCTACCCAGTTACCTGAGCCAGAAACCTCGGCACCTTTCAAACTTCTTTTATAGTTTTAAAATAATTATAAACTTACAGAAAAATTGCAAGAATAGTATAAAGAACTTCTGCTTTCGCCCAAATTTCCTGTTAACATTTGCTTTATCATTTTCTTTATGTAAGCTGTTTACGTTTATATTTATTTACAGTATTTATGTATCCTTTTTTCCTGAACCATTAGAATAGGTTGCAGATATGAAGCCTCATTACCTTTAATACTTCAATATGTGTTTTCTAAAAACAAAAATATCTCCTATGTCACTAGAGTATGGTCATCAAAATCAGAAAATTAATATTGTTAAAATACTACCATCTAATCCAGAGACCCCATTCAAATTTTGTTAGTTGTCCCAATAATATCTTTATAGCAAAACGATTCAATTCAGAATCATGTATTCCACTTAGTTGTCATGTACCTTAATTCTCCTTCAATCTAAAAATGTTCTTTAGTTGTTCCTTTGTCTTTCATGACCTTGATCCTTGAAGAGTACAGGTCTATTCTTTTGTAGAATGTACCTTAATTTGGGACATTTGGGTTGTCTGATTTTTCCTTATGATTGATTCGGATTACACATTTTTGGCAGGAATGTCACAGAAGTGTGTTCTAAGTGCCTCTAACCAGGAAATACCCGATGCTGATTTGTCTCATGACTGCTGATGGTAACTTTGCTCACCAATGCCAGATTTCTACACTGTCAAGTTTCTAATTTTTTCTGTGTAATTAATAAGTATTTGCTGGGGAGATGCTTTGAGACTATATAAAAATTACATGACTCTTAATACTCTCACCTTCTAGTTTTAGCATACACTGATGATTCTTGTCTGAATCCACTGTTACTATCATGACTGCCAAATAACGATGTTTCTACTTATAACACTGTCTACATTCATTACATATAGTTGGCATTTTTATGTAAGGAAGAGCTTTTCTTTATCCTGATTTTTCAAAAAAATCGTTTATTCATTTTAGTATGGGCTCAAATCTTCCTATTTTATTCAGCGGACTATAATCCATTAACATTATATTGGTGCTCAGATTGACCCAGATGTGGCCAATGGGGGCTCCTTCACGCTGACTTTGTGCCCTTTTGATATGTTTCTTCCTTCTGTGTTCACTTCCTTAATTTCTGGTGCAACAAGATTTTTCAGGCTCCTATTCTAAAATCAACCATTTCTCCAAGGGACCCAGTTACTTTTAGTGAATAATAGTGTTCAGAAACCAAGATTTAGGCACATGTGCTCATTGCTTCTAGCATACCATTATTCTGAAACCCTTTCAGCAGATAGAGCTAGGAAGAGCATAATAGATAGATATGCACACACCTATACAGACTTTCCTCTATATTTATTTCTACATATGTTTATGTATATATTGAAAACTATAGGTTTACACTGACATATTCAATTCCAATCCAACATCACCACAAAGGTCATTGTGGAATTCCTTCTCTCTCAATTTGTAACTTCCTTCTCTGTCAGTGAGAAACCTGGCTCCCATTAGACCCAACATATTTATTTCCTCACTCCCCTTTCATGCTTGCCACCTCTTTACTTGCCAAGGGGAAGGCGAAACAGCTGGTCATCGTTTTTTATTATTTCTTATCATTCATTCTTCCATCCAATTAATCACTAAGTCCTGACATTTTTACCTCCTAAAAATTTCTCGAACTGATCCATTTCTCTCCATTCTGATTTTTCTTAGCCTTGACCATACCAACCTTTGTCTCTTACATGGCTTACAGCAACGCCATCTTAAATGGTATTCCCGGATCTAGATTTGCTTCCTTCCTGTCTGTTCTCCACCCTGCAGTCAGTGTTATCTTTATGATATTAAAATTTGAGAATTTCACTCCATAAAATTCTACAGTGGTATTGCATTGACCAATACTGTCTGGGTCTCTTCACGGCCTGTTTAACTATCTTGTTTTGTTTCCTCCAAAAGACCCTAGACTCATTCTCTACCTTTTAGTTAGCCAACTTGAACTTTTTTTTTTTTTAGTTCTGTATTATACCAAACTTTCTTTTAGTGAACACTATACGCCACCTTCTTCTACCTGGAAACCCTTCCTAACCTGGACAACTCTACACATTATTTTGGTTTTTGCTTAAATGTCACTTCTGCTACAAAATATTCCCTGACCTCCCCACCCCACTGCACCTCTGCATGCTACCGTAAAGGCAGAAGCAAGAGATGATAACAGGGTTACACATCCGCAAGTCTGGGAATCGTATTCTGAAACTAAAACCCTACTAAGAATGAGCAGCCAGAGTCATAACTTCCCTTTGGAAAAGCGGGTACTTAAATGCAGTTGTGAGGACAAATGAAAAGTACATAAAACACCTACAATGCATAGCTCCTAGAAGGAGCTCAATATATGTTATCCATTATTCATTCAACAAATGTTCATGAAATGCCAACTATTTCATAGATACTGTGGTAGATACTGGGGATAGAAAAAATACAATGTAAACTATGAAAATATAGAATGAGTATGCAAAGTCTAATATACGGAATGAATATCCAAAATCTAATAAGGAGTAGGAGTATTTGAAGGAGTCAGTCAACCTGCTTAAGATTCGAAGGATGGACAACATTTGACTGTGATATGCAGTAGTGTAAAAGGAGGAATTTTCAGGAAGAGAGAACAATATGTGTAAGGACAGGGCGTGCAAGGCTATGGATTGTTTTTCATAGTACACATAATTCAATGTTGCATAAAACTGCATGATACACATGATTCAATATTGCATAAAATTGGAACAATAAGCTAATGAGAGATGAAATTAGTCAGGGAGATGGAGCATCTTGTATCCTAGGCAAAGCAATCATTTTCTCTTACACGTTGTCTTTCAAGAATTTTCAGCAAGAGAGAGCCATTATCCGATTTACATTTTTAGTCAGGACATTCTGATAGCAGTGTGGGGAATTTTAAGAGTCAAAACTGGAGTCACAGGACTGGTAAAGCGCCCACCTGAGGAATTTAAAAAGAGAGAATGAATATGCTTTGGTATAAGATGCATTTAGGATACTCTACAGTTCTTACTAAAACACTGGGAGCAAGTGTTTGACACTTGATAGTGCAAGATTACAGCAAGATAGTGGTGGCTTACAGCAAGATAGAAATCTAGGAGAGTAGGTTTAGAATGCAAAGTTGAACAGCTCAGTTTGGTACACAGCGGATTAGTAATCTTTCTCGTTGCTTCCTCAAAGGATTTAGGGAAGCACATGGCATAGAGATATAGTTTGTAAGGTGTGGCAATGCCAGTGAGAATGGAAAAGCTGGCCTCCATAAACTCTCTCTCTGTACAAACGAAGCAACAGGTTACAGCGCGTGGCTGTAGGTACAGGAAATGGCGTGTATTCATGAGTCCACGAGTAGCGCAACTAGTATTTTTCCAGCCCTGGTGACTCAGAGCTGAAGATGGCGCCTGCGGCAGAAATCAGAAAAGTGGGAGGGAGCATTAGGTACAGAAAAGTATGGCGTTTTAACTTTTGTTTTCCACACACAGGGAGATAGCTCTAAAGGAATCGTGCATAATTTTTTCTTAAGATTTTGTCTGTAGTACAACTTCATTTTCCACGCTTTAAAATCATGTTTTCTTTTGTGGGCGCGACCGCGTGGGGAGTGACAAATCTGTTTATTTGCCTCATTCATTGATTTTCTTATTTTGGGCGACTTCCATAACAGCCTCCCCAGTTTTCCTTTGCCCCGTCAGTTTTTCCCTGCGCTTGCTACAATTCTAAGGCGGAAAGAGTATTTTTGGAGGTGAAGGCGGGGAAGACTCAAGCTCTGTGGGAGCACCCGCGCATTTCCGACTCCCTTCCCGCTCGCACGGCCTCGGAGGCTGGAGGCCCGTAAGGTCCCCGAAGCGCGCGCCCACCAACAGCCTGAGGGCCCCGGTGCAGGCGCCGCGCGGCCCCTTCTCCCGGGCGGAGGCGAAGGCGGTGGCGGCGCGGGGGCGGGGGCGGGGCCGCGGTCCGGGCCTAGCGCGCGAGACGCGTCGGTCGCCATGGGAACGGCGGTGTAGGCAGGCGCTGACGTCAGCAGGCCGCGAGTAGTCCGCGCTGCGGCACAGAGCAGTGGCTTGCTCTCCGAACCCGGGTCGCTGGCGGGTAAGGTGGCTTCGTGGCAGCCTCACTTAGCGCCCGCGCCGCTGGGCGCGGGGGAGTCGATTTGCACTGTTCCGGGTGTCGGCTTGGGCGGGACGGACGGTTCTGCCTACTCCTCCTCTCCGTAAGTACCTCGTGGGTTCGCTGGTGGCGGGAGCGCGGGCCGGGGTGCTCGGCCTGCCCGGCCCTCTCTGGGGCGGCGTGTCGGGGCTGCTGGAGTCCGAGAGCGCGGGGGCTGATCGCGGATTGACCGGGGAGCGTGGGCCGGGTGTCCCGGAGGAATGCGATTTCCCGGAGTCCTCAACGTACTTTCCGCTTCTTTCACTGGTCTCGGTGTCTCCGGAGAGTTGAGCATGGTGTTCTGATAGGGAATTCAATCTTTGCCTTTCCTACTCCCGATTCTTGTTTAAATGCTTTTAAATCAGATGCGTACTGAGTGTGTTTATTTCCTTTTAGAGTGTCATCCTGGGGCTGAATCTTCAACCTGTCAAAGCCTACTTAATTACGTCTGAGAAAAGGTGATCAATTTGTTAAACTTATAAGAGCCAGATTATATTAATAGGGTTGTTTCGAGATGCATAAAAATAGAATAAAAATGTAGACCATTTAAGCATCCTTATCAAAGGTTGTGCTGCGTTTGGCATTCCTGTGAAAACATCTAATGTGAAAATAAAGTTTTTCCCTTTTGAGAAAGAGATGCCAACAGTTTTTTCACCTGTTGCATTAGCAGTTACTGTTATTGCTTGGGTTAGGAGGAAGATTGCTTCTTATGAGTACTCTGGGAAATTTTTTAAAGAATGCTTGAAAAAATTAAAATACCAAAAGTGTTTTTAAACCATACTTAGAATCTTGTTTATGAAGAATAATATTTATGAAGTTAGAATCTTGTGTACTTATGAAGAATCTTGTTGATCTATTCATTGAATGTTGTGTACAGGATTTTTGTTTGTCTTTTTTTCCCTTGCGATAACATTTGGTTAAAGAGGGAATTATCAAGCCTCTCAATTTTTTCTCCCATTGATATTGAGTCACATATTGGCTGATAATCAGGTGGTCTGTAAAATAAAATGAAATGAGGTGCAATCCATTTAATTTTCCTACATAGTATCTCTTAGAAGCTCCTGTGAAAGGGTTTGTGAGGGAGAAGTTGTAAAATAATGGAATATATAAGATTCGGAGGTTTCTTTTAAAGTCCGACCTGAATTTTCGCAGATAATGTTACTAATTAAATATTAGTCATTAATTCTATCATATGTTTGCTGTAGTACACATTAAGATTTAGAGATGGCTGGGCGCAGTGGATCAGGCCTGTAATCCTAGCACTTTGGGAGGATCAAGAGTGGGTGGATCACTTGAGGTCAGGAGTTCAGTATCGGCCTGGCTAATGTTGGTGAAAACCCATCTCTACTAAAAATACAACAATTAGCCGGGCGTGGTGGCGCACAACTGTAGTCCCAGCTGCTAGGGAGGTTGAGGCAGGGGAATTGCTTGAACCCAGGAGGCGGAGGCAGCAGTGAGCTGAGATTGTGCCACTGCACTCCAACCTGGGCAACAGAGCAAGACTTTGTCTCCAAAAAAAAAAAAAATTAGAGATGATTTCTATAATGTATTTGCTGTGTTATTAAATAATATTAGTATTTATTCAGTTGTGTATTAAGCTATTAACAGTAAATAATTCTATGATTTCTGTATTTTATTAATAATTACTTATTTTTAATACAATAATACTGGACATAAAGTAATTTTATTGCAGTGTACTCATTACTTTGCTTTTTGGTATTTTCTCCTTGCAGTACTAAAACAGGTGCCATTTTAAATTCCCAGACAAGGAAAAACCAAGGATTAGAAATTAAGTAGCTTACCCAATGCCACACATCAGTAAGTGGTGACACTGGAGGTCAAACCTGAGTCTTTTTTACTCTAGGACCGTTGCTACTGCTTCGCTTTGCTTTGCTTCTCGTGTTTTCTCTTCTCTCTCCTCTTTTCTTTCATAGTGGCAGATACATAACTATAGAGAGCATTGGCGTGGCCTCCAAAGCTAGCAGTTTGGTGGGAGACAGAACATTTAACCAGGATGAAAATTCAGGGCTGAGGTAGAGGGAGTTACAAGGATTCAGGCACCCTGGGAGCACAGAAGAGAAGTGCTTCACCGCCCTTCAAGGTGCGAATGCTCTCTAGAGAAGATACTTGCCTTCAAAGGATAATGAGGAGTTTGTTAGAGTGACAAAGGAGGAAGGACATTTTTCAGGAGAGGGGATATATGTGTAATGATACAAAAGCAAGAGAGGACGTGGCACATGTGAAGGCCTGGAGGTAGTTTCACATGGCTGGAACACAGTGTATGGTGTGAAGGGGACATTTCATAAATGGCCTTGGACCTCAATGGTAAGGACTTGATATTTTTTTCAGTGTGTGATTGGGAGCTAGTGAAGAATTTTAAGCAAAGAAATGACACCGTCACATTTGAATTTTAGAAAATTGCTGTGTAGATGATTTATTTTTTAAAAGGGTAAGGTGATAGTGGCATGGAAACAATCTTAAAACAAACAGCATAATCCTTCCACAGTGTTTTTGTCCCAGAGTTACTGTCTCATGTCACTGCCTTTAGGGGTGGTGGAAAGACAGTTGGAAGAATTCTGTAAAGAATTGTCTACATGTCCCTTCTACAGGGGTCACCTTCCATTCACCCCTCAGCCCCAGCCTGCTAGGTTTCTGCCCCTCCATAAACAGCTTTGACACACGTGACTTCCTTCTTGCAGATTCAGTGGACTTTCTTCAAAACCTCCAGCCCCTTTTGATGCCACACAGTATATAGGCTACATCTCCTTTAAAACTCTTTCCTTCTGTAATGCTTCTGTCTCCCCGTTTTTTACCTGTCTCCCTGATTTTACTTTATATTGTGGGCTCTCAGGATTCTCATTGGCTTTTTATTTTCTTGCAACTATCATATTTATAAATAACTCCCAAATCTTCAGCCTAGGGTCTCCCTGCTGGATTAATAGATTGCCTAATAAACATAATATGATTATATACATAAACACAGACACACACATGTGACAGTAATAACAATTGTTCTTTTTGAAGGGTTTGCCATGTGCTAGGCATTGTGCCAAGTATTTTACTTGCATGTTCTCATTTAATCTTTGTAAAAACACTGAGTGATTTATTATTGTGAAAGATTAGGAAATTGATGTCCCTAGAGATGAATCTGCTGGCAGGTAGAACTGGTATTTGGATCCAAGGATCTGACAATGGAAGCTGATGCTTGTAGCTGCTCAGTGCCCTTCAGATACCCAACTCAACATGACCCACACTAAGCTTAGTGACTGCACCCTAGCAAGTACCTGTTATAATTATAGCTAACATTTATTGTTGCTGCTTCTGTCTGAGATACTGTTGTAAATCATTTAACCCTTACAACAACCCTTTGAGTCGGCACTGGTAGAGTGTTTTTACAGATGAGGAAGCAAAAGTCACACAAGTGACTATGGAAACTAATTCTAGGACATGGATTTTAAACTACTCTCCTGTACTGCATTATATTACAGTTTAATGGTACTACTAACCTACTATTCTAGTTCTAGAAACATGGGAATCACCTCCGATTCTTTCTCCTGCCTCTTCATTAGTTATTTAATCTTTCCAAAATATTATCTGACTCCCATCACCCAGGCTGGAGCACACTGGTGCAGTCTCGGCTCACTGCAACCTCCACATCCCAGGTTCAAGCGGTTCTCCTGCCTCAGCCTCCCCAGTAGCTCCACACCTAACTAGTTTTTGTATTTTTAGTAGAGATGGGGTTTTACCATGTTGGCCAGACAGGACTCAAACTCCTGATCTCAAGTGATCTGCCTGCCTCATCCTCCCAAAGTATTGGGATTACAGGCATGAATCACCATGCCCAGCAGGCTTTTTTTTTGATGAATCATAGTCATAATATTGTTCAACTTTTTCCCTGCCTATTAGATGACCGTCAAGTAGTATAAATATTAAATTTTTGTTTGTTTTATGATTTTTCTACTTACATGCTCTCAGGGATGCTGTCATTGTGCTTGCCTTTGCAGCTTCTCTTTCTAATTTGATATAGACTAGAAAGTAGAAGGTGAGTTATTAGGTTCATAACTGCTAGAAGGAGTAAATACAGGCTCCTATCACTAAAGTATAGGAGTTTTTACTCCATGGATTTAGTGATGTCTGTTTTGTTTGGGTACCACATGGTCGTTCCCTAAATTAACTGACGTAGTTAGGTATGTTTACATAATCATTCCTTTCTTTTTAGAATTTCTTAGACATTTCTGCAAGAGGAACATGAATGTGGATCTCCAGGGAATTGGAGCATTAACCAATAATACCTTGGGCCCAGTGTGGTGGCTCACACCTGTAATCCCAACACTTTGGCAGGCCGAGGTGGGCAGATCACATGAGGTCAGAAGTTCAAGACCAGCCTGGCCAACATGGTGAAACCCTGTCTCTACTAAAAATACAAAAATTAGTTGGGTGTGGTGGCACACACCTGTAATCCCAGCTACTTGGGAGGCTGAGGCAGGAGAATCGCTTGAACCTGGGAGGTTGCAGTGAGCCGAGATCATGCCACTGCACTCGACAAAGGGAGACTCCATCTCAGAAGCAAACAGACCAATAATCCCTGAACCAGCTTTTCTTCTTTTTTTTTTTTTTAAACACTCTTCAGTTTTAGTCTCAATAACATGCATATTACGTTCTAAGTGTTCTAATGTGAGAATTAATATGTTCATATTAGACATACACCACCATTTTTTAATAAAACGGGCAATTTAGTAATATACATACTGAGTTTAAACACGGTTTTGAGTAGTTCTGACACACAGTAATACACATCCAGGTTTTATTAAAGAAAGATGGTACACTTATTTGTACTGTCCTTCTCTATTGTAGCAGAATTTTCAATGGCAGACACAGAGGTATTTAAATTCACTGTCTGTGAGTATGCTGCCCACAAGCATGCTTTAATGTATTAGTGAATGCTCTTAGGAAAGTCAGTCCTGAGATGGAGTTTGGTTTCTTAAAAGTGTGTTGAAATGTTCATTAATATATTGAAACATTTTAAAACGTTTATTAACATACCACGTTAGACGTTCACTGCCTTCAAAATGTTTTTTTTGTTGGTTTCAAATATATAAAGGCTTTCTTCATATATGATCCAGTTTGTTTCCCTTGATTTTAGGGCCCTAAACTGATTAAAATGTACCCAAGTCATAAGCATAAGGTTGGGATAAGGGAACATTGATTTATTGTTACACACTTAATGAAGTAGTGGACATACAATGGCATGATCTTGTGTGAATGTTTTATAATTTTTATTTGGAAGTTCCATATTACAAATACATCGTCTTTGTTTCGATAGGATCCTGACTGAGTCAATGCTTTACATTCTCAGTCCTCTGCATAAAGCTGAGAGATGCCTACTGGTAAGACATTCATGAAATTTATGTATTAGATTTATATTTTATACATTTACTTTTAAGTTTGGTTTATTTTAAGGGATTCTTTAACAGATCAATGAATACAGTAGATGTCATTGACCAAATATACTACATTTAGAGATACTTATTGGTTTTGTATTCAGTTTTCCGTTTAATGTTGTGATTAAGGTTAGTATGTATTTAATGGATGGTAGTTTGGGACTAAGCTGGACAAGGTAAATACTGATTACAACATAGGGTTAGTTTTTATTTTTTATCGTCAAAATTGAATGTTTTACTCCACCACAAGCATTGGCAATCTTTTCTAAAAGGACCAGCTAGTAAATATTTTAGGCTTAGTCTCTGCTATAACTACTCAAGTCTGTGTCTGTCTCTGTTTTAAAGCATGAAGGCAGTTATAACAATTCTTAATCAAATGGGCATGTCTGATTTCCATAAACCTTTACAAAAACAAGTGACTAGCCTGCAGGCCATAGTTTGCCAACACTTGCTCTAGAGCACCCATTCATTCAGCGTTTTTTAATTTAAAACATAATGATTATGTACACTATGTCAGACCTCATAATTGTTGCTAGGGATGTAGTTATGGGGGAAACAGACGATATGTTTCTAATAATTATACAATTTCCATTTGGGTTAAGTGCTGCGAAGGAAGAGAACAACCTGCTATGTGAGAAAGATGAAAATTTAGATGAGTTTGTCAGGAGATGTTTTATTTACAGACAGCATTTAAACTAAAGACAGGTTAACACCAGCCAGGTGAGGAGTTAGAGGAAGTTTGCCTCAGAAACAGCTTCACGTGGGAAGGAGCTTGTTGTGACGGAGGAGCTAAAGGAAGGGTATTGTAGCTAGAACATAGGCATCTAAGAGGGTATTTGTCTTGACTTGAAGCCCTGGAGATAGATCAGGAGGTATGGAACCCTATAGGGCATATAAAAGACTTATTTTATCCTAAATGAAATGAGAAATTTTCAGGGGCTTAAGCATTATCTTATTGATGTTTTAAAGGAAAAACCTGTTAATGTTTGTGGACTACTGATTACAGGCTAGGCAGACCTTAGCCATTTTCATGCAAAATGATCTTTGACATAAGATAATTGTGATTTTACAGATAAGGAAAATTAAGTTTAGAGATGTTAAGTAACTTGTCTAAAGCCACATAACATGTAACTAACAGTGGTAGATGCTACTGTTTATCTGAAATAAAAAGTTAACTTGGCAAAGGAGACTTTTAGAGTGAGTGGCCAAAAAGGTCAGAGGGATACAGGTGAACGTTGTGATCACTAAAGTCAAAACAAAAAGTATTTTAAGAAGGAAAGACTGGTGAGTTTTTCTAATGTAGCTAGAGAACTCATGCCGGTATTTACAAGACTTTATTTCTTAACATAATAGTAGTGTAGATTATGTGTTATAATAGAGTTGTTTACAAAATGACATGACTCTATCTTTTGTAGCTGAGAGTGAAGCAAAAGTAAAAACCAAAGTTCGCTTTGAAGAACTGCTTAAGACTCACAGTGATCTAACGCGTGAGAAGAAAAAACTGAAGAAAAAACTTGTCAAGTCTGGAGAAAACATCTCAGTAAGTAAATGATCATTGGGTAATGGTGATTTACATATCTGCATAAAATGCAGATATGACTGCATTTCATGTTAAAATTCTAAGGAGTTTGGAAAATTAAAAACACTAACACTATGTCATGGTCAATGACACATGGTAAAATAAAGTTTACATTAGAATCAACATCACTGTGGAAGTATTGAGTTCATTCTTGAGTGCTGTCCTACAGGAAGAACACACACACAGTGGGGAGAATGATCGGAGATAGTGGGGAAACTCAAAACTAGCCATGATACCATTTTGAAGAAAATATTTTTAACCCATAATTGCGAAGAACTTAGGAAGTAGTATCTTAACTTCAGATATTGAGTAGCTTGTGCTTATTTAAGCTTTTTCTGTGTGATTCTACCCGACAGAACCGGGAGAAATCAATGGCCTTAAGGCAATAATTATCCTTTTATGTTTGAGGCACACTTCCAAATGGTAGAATTTTTGGCAGCACACTTTAAGGGATTAAAAATACAGTGCTTAAAGTAAAGACTAAGCAAATCAGCAACTAACTACAACCTGATCCCCTTGGAATCACAAAGAGTCTGTATTGGCATCCACAGTTAGTGTACTCTACACCCTTTATACCTATCTCACTACTTCAGTTGCGCTTTTTACTACTTTGACTGTTATCTCTTCTGTCCTCACAGAAAAAAAATAAATAGGTTCTAGTATAAATAATAATGTAGTTTTTTTTTTTTTTGGCAGGAGTTTTATGCTGAGTTACACATCCTACATTTTGCTTGTAGTAAGATTTACCCCATTTTTTCTTAAGACCTGTTTATTTTAGTATTCTGTCTGGCAGCTGTCAATGTAACAGTATAAATTCTGAAGTGAGGCAAAAATAAGTACTAACACAGGCCAAAATCCAGCTGCACACATGTGAGGGTTCATAGTATATACACTGGTATACTACTGCACAAAAATTTCCAACTGACAGAGTGGGACAGATTAGCACTTCCATAGTGAATGCTGCTCTGAAATAGCATGTGCTTTTTCCGGTGGTACTGGTGTACAATATGGTAGGGAATAGTGACATGGAGGTTGAAACATTGCTTATTGGTATATGCCCTCCCCTCAGATGTAGTGGTTTATGTTGGGCAAAAGCAAAAAGAACCCTGGAAACAGTTGTCTGCAGAGATGTTTTATGCTCAGAGAAGAACCTCATATTGTGTCTCAGTATTAAAGAACTGGGAGTTGTGAGCCATGAACAAGACTGAATCTAAACTGATTTAGACCAAGGTTTAAATTAAGTGGATAATCGGAATAGGCAGAGGTTATTTCCATTTACCTAAAGTCCAGTTTAAATGTTGAGGGGCACATAAGTGTGAAATGACTAAACATAATTTACCCAGCCTCTCTTTGCAAACAGCAGGCCTGACTAGGCTTCTTTTCTTTCAGAAATAAGTACACTAGGAACAGATATTTGGAAAGAGATTTCCCAGCTCAAAAGAAGGGGAATATTTCTAGAGGACTTGGAGGAAAACAGAATATTTTTGACATGATTAACTTTAGGAAGTAAAAGAATAATACCTGCTTTCATTTGCTAGATGCCTGAATGCTTTCTATCTTTAGGCACTCTTCTAAACACTTTATATATATTCAGTCATTCAGTACAGACGACGAAATTATGGGGTTTTATTTCTTCGGAAGAGAAAACTACATCATAGAAGTTAAATAACTTGCTGAAAGTTACATCGTAAATGGTAGAACCAGGATTCAAACACTGAGAGCGGGAGTGCGGAATCCACTGCCTTAACCACAACCCAATATTGCCTATTTTAATGAAATTTGAAGAGATAGGACCTCTTCTTGAAAGAAGAACGGGGAATCCTACATACAAAACAGGCTGAGATGAGAAAGGGAGCAGTCTGAAATAAAATTAAGCGAGGAAAAAAGTCAAAATAAGGATTCATAATAATGGCAGGTTGATCTTATGTTCCAATTATATATAAGGCACAATAATAGTTTTACAAATATTATTTCTAAATCTTACTGTTAATCTTGCAAGATAGGCATTGGGACTCTTTTTTGGCACATGAGAAATTTTATAAACAGACATGTTAAGTGATTTCCTTAGGTCATATAGTCAAAAATAGGATAACCAGGATTTAAGACTGCAGTCTCTGCAATTTTAAAAGTACATGTTCTTTCTTCAGTTGCTTTCTTAAGACTATATCTCAGGCCTAAAATGATAGAATTGACACTATGTTTGAAAAATCTAATCAGTGAAGTGGGAGACAAATTCGAGGTGAGAAGAAATGACCAAAACTAAAATGAAAGAAATAAAGAATGAGGACATAGGAAAATATTTGACCCACAGATAAGTATTCCCGGACAGCACTAGTGGAGCAGCAACAAAAACGAGCATGACGAAGAAACCTTGCTGAGATTTCTGAAGAGATGAGTCCATCCCGCATTCTAGGCAAGACTTATGAGATGAGAACTATATCTAGAAACATTCTTTTGTTTTTATCTTAAGAGTAAAATAAATATTACAAACACTTAAACAGAAAAACATATAATACATTTCAGACTTCTCTGTAAAAACACTAAATCCAAAAGACAATGGAGAAATATTTAGAGCATTAAGGGAAAAATTGTAGCCCGAGGAATCTAGTCACCTAAGTTGTTAGTCATTTGTGATGGTAGTTGTAAACATATTTGCATTATTAGCGAAATATTATCAGTGTTCCCTCCCTGAAAAAAAAACAAAGATTTAAGATTTATTAAAAATGTAGTACCATTTCTAGATAAGAATCAAAGTTAAGAATTTAAGAATAGAACATCTTAAGATCTTAGAGGGAGGGATGAAGAGAAGTTGGTTAAGGAGTATAAAAATACAGTTGGAAGGAATAAATTCTAGTAGTTAGTATTACAGTAGGGAAATTACAGTTAATAATTGTATATTTCAGAATAGCCAGAAGAAAAGATTTATGTTCCCAACATAAAAGATAAATGCTTGGAGTAATGGGTATGTCAGATGCTCTGATGTGATCATTATACACTATATACAGTGTCAGAATATCACATGTACCCCCAAAATATGTACAACTGTTATATATCAGTTAAAAAAATTTTAATGGAAAATTTATGAACCAAAAATACATTGGATGAACTTTGAAATCAGTTAAATATGTAGAACTTTCTTAATTATTATATATGTCCAGAATAATTCCTGAAGATTTTACATTAGATATGTGTCTATGATAATGTGAGAGAACAGAACCAAATTATTTTCAAAGGTTAAGCAAAGCGTCTTAACTTAGGAAGAAAAAGTCACGTAACCATTATTCTTAACCATAGCGTATAGTCAAAAGTTATTATTTCATCCTAGAGTTTGAAATAAATAAAACAAGTGATAGATATAAAATAGATTATTACACTTTCTAAGTCATCTGAGTTAAAAAAAATTAGATGAGATTTTTTAAAAGAATATAATGAAATAAGAAATTTAAGAGCAAACTCAGTCATGACAATAAATGTAAATAGTTTAAGCTTCCTACTTTTAAAAGCGGATTCAAAAATAGACTTTTAAAGTAATCAGGACCAGGCATGGTAGCTCATGTCTGTAATCCCAACACTTTGGAAATCCAAGGTGGGAGAAATTGCTTCAGTGCAGGAGTTCAAGACTAGCCTGGGCAGTGTAGTAAGATCCCATCTCTCAAAAAATAACTTATCTGGGCATGGTGGCATGCACTTGTAGTCCTAGCTACTCGGGAGGCTGAGGTGGGAGGATTGCTTGAGCCTGGGAGGTCAAGGCTGCAGTGAGCCATGATCATGCCACTGCATTCCTACCAGAGTGATAGAGCGAGACCTTGTCTCAAAAATAGTAGTAATAATAAATAAAATAAAATATCAGATATTTTGCTTGCAAGATTCACACATTAAACAAAATGACACAAAGTTTAAAAGTAAAAGTGTGCAAAAATATAGACAGTTGTCTATGTTTTTCTTTCTGAAGAAAAACTTATAGCTGTCTCATTTATGAATGTGTGTTAAGAGAACAAAATCGCTATGTAAATATATGAACATATTGAAATTAATCATGTTAAAAGAATAATCTGTCTCAGCGATATAGTTCCCCCAAAGAACTCAAGAATAGCTTAATAATTGGATAGCAGTCAATATTAATGTTAGTGCAAATAAATTGAATAAAAAAATATAAAAATAACAAGGAAAACAGCTGTTGTATTTTTATTGGAAATAGGATGGTAATGGATTTTTTAGAACATTTTGTGTTCGTGTATGTGAAAGCCATACATGTGAGCACCAAACCTAGAGCATGCTGTGGGGTTCTCGGAAAATGCAAATCCATACATATACGTGGTATATTATGTATGATTTCAGTAGTTTTCTGTGGGTCCCTTTGAAAAGGGGGACACCTACCCTATAGGTTCTTCCTTTAAAATCAGGACCTGCAATGGAAGATGTCTTTTCATCATAAGTGTTTAATAATCTTGAAGTAAATATATTAAGGCATGAAACATAAAGATATAATAGCTTTTTTTCAATAGGTATTTGTCCATATTTGTTGCATAGCAGGCACCATAAGTGTTTTACATGTATTAACTCACCTAATTCTCACACACATCCTATAAAATCAGTATACACTGAAGAACTGAGGCACAGAGGTTAAGAAACGTACCCAGGATCATATAACTAATAATAGTGAATCCAGGTCCTACTGAATCTGTAGCTTGTACAGTACAGTTCATAACAACTATACTGGCTCCCTGTTATGCCAGTGTATAGTGTACAGTGTGGGCAAATATGACGCTTAGTGAGGAGAACAAATGATCATTATTGATGGTTTGAATGCTAATAATAGAAAACCTATGTGAATCAACCTGTGTGAACAAAATAAGTACACAAAATTAACGATTATAGCTAGAAACAATAAGAAAATATTGGAGAAAAATACAAAAATTAACAGATAGATACTACATACATAGAAACTACAAAAGTACTGA